GTATACATGTGTTGTGTGCTCGCCGTGGTGGTGGGGGGGGGGGGGGGGTTGGAAGAGTACTTGGGTATGTTTTACTGGGAGTCTAATTGAGTTTATGGGCAGGACGGGTACCCAACTCCATGGCCACATTATGGTTCTTGCAGAGCAGGTCCTCATTATGACAGCTAGACCTAGCCGTGTGTCCGAGTCAACACACACACACACACACCACAGCCTTCCGTCGCTTATTGGTTAGGTGCATAGAGTTCTAAAAGCCACAGATGTCAATAGTTTGCACACAACTCCTGTCTCTTTAGCATGTGTCTGGATTACATTGTTATCAAGGGCTGCCATAATGGAGGAGTACAGGGAAGCAGACATAACAGTATGGTGGAAGAGGCTTGAGGCAGTGAAGATCTAACATTTGCATAGCGCTGCCCAATGCAAAACCAAAAAAAAGTGGCCGACAGCTTCAGTGTGAACAGAGAAAAGGCAAGATGTGGGGTTAGTTCATTGCAAAGCAGCATTAAAAACACTACATTAGTAAATAGCAAACGACACTGTTATATGGAACAACGTGTCCACATTTATAAAATGCAGTATTGCCATCAAGAAATCTCTATTACACATTTATGGGCATCAGTTTTGAACCCATAACAGGTTGCTAATGCTCAACCATTTCGGTAGGGCTTCATTTTCACACAGAGAACAGTTCACTAACACAATCAACAAGCTTTGGGTAGCAAGCGGCTGCAAGGTTTTCAGTGAAGAACTGCAAGTATAAGAATTCTGTAAGCAGAAAGGAGATTTACAGAAGACACAGTTAGGGAGTGTTACAGATAACGCTGAACAGCACTAATTTGCTATTGCAACATTGCAATATCAAATCTAGGCGCACTCTTGACAGACACGGGTAAGTAAAGCATAGGATAAAAAGTGTCTTACAAGGTTCTCTACTGTATTTAGCAGAACTGTCAGACCGTGGATTCCGCTTCATAGGAGCTAGGAGGGAAAACCCAGACAAGGTTATTCAAGAAATGTACAGATAAAGTATTCCAGTTTTTATACCAAAGTGTATTTTACTAGTTAAAAAGGCCAACTCCAGCAAAAACATATTTCCATGTATTCCCCAGACGTCAGTGACCAGATATGCCCACAAAACCTCACCTCAATGCCTTGGCTGTTACAAGACCAAATGGTGGTACACCTCGAATGGATTCTCTACTAGATAAAACCATTTAAAAGAGAATAACCTTTGTGGATACAGATGTGTAGGAGTGCTGGAAACAACTGCAAGGAAATCTTGCCATCACAGTGTCCACGAAAAACAGAAGCAGCCAGAGGGAAACTCGACTCACAAAAAAAAAAATCATTGTAACTGAAAAATGACAAACTCATAGCAACAAAACAGTTAAAGCCCATCTCGCTAATCTCCAGCCACTTGGGCCTGGGTCCCACTTTGGCTTTCTGTGAACAAGCGTCAAAAGTGTCAGGCTTGTGGCCCCATTACTTGTTATTGGCACCCCAAACTCAACCAGGAAAATGTGCGCCAAATGCACACAATGTGTGGTCAAAAAATGTGAAAGCTTGCAGCCGAAAATGCTGCACGAGCCTCTTTGCAACATTTGGGGGCGCATTCAACAGCCCATCGAAATGAATGGGCTAACGTGCAGACTGCGGCACGCACATGAACGTGTTTTCACGGATTGCCAAGTGTGAATTGGGCCTTAAGAAGCCCCCTCCCCATAAAAGCTACACATTAAAATGTATACAACACACACACACACACACACACACACCTCCCCCAAATACATACCTTAATATTAGGAGTCTTGACCACTCTGGTGATATTAGGGGTCCCTCATTCTTTTCTGCAGGCAGTGGCGGTCCACACTGCAGCAAAGAATGTCGCTCATGTAATGAAATGAGAGCAGCATTCAGCTCAGAGATACTGAGAGTCCAAGTATACATGATCATGCATCCCCATGGGGTGGATCCACAAGACCTGGGCTCACAGCAAGTAATATGAGCAGAAGTTGAAAAGCCACTCGTCCTTTCGTCTGTGACGAGAGGACGCCGGAGGAGTAGCTTCCCTGCCGTCCGTTGTAATTAAACGGCCGGCCGGGAGCTTCATGGATGGCGGTTTACATTCAAGCAATTGGGTGTCTCTACAGACGCCCGATCGCTTGTATTAAGCTGTATTAGCAGCGGTTAGCCTCCTATGTGATCGCAATAAAGTTAGGTGTGTAAAAAACAAAAAAACAACCACATTAATTTTTTCTTTTTAAAGTCCCCCCACCCCACACATACACACGCAAACATGCGTTGGGCACGCCTACGTGTGAAAACGACAATTGCGCCTATTGTGCCGCACATGTTACATATCACCGTGAAAGTCGGAGTGAAAGCAATCATTTTCGGACCATTAATCACCAACACTAAACTGATGAGCAGTGTTTTTTGCAATTTTTCAGGCGCGCACAATTTTAAGCCTTGACATGTTTGGTGTCTAGTTACACGGCGTACCTCATACTAAAACCTGATGAAGGGGACCCTGCGTGGCCCCGAAACGTTGCTTTTTGACAGTCTGCATCAATAAAGAAGATGGATTATTGACAAGACATAGGTGTGCTGGGGACATATCATATATTTGAAGATGCACGGCGCCATCCATGGTTACTACAGCACCCTCCTTTATACATAGGGGTTCCAGTAAGGAGTGCAGCAGTTCCTCTCCAAGATTGTATTTACCCGACATGACCCCGTCTTTTATATTTTATGAAAAATATGGGCAAGAATAAATATGTTTAACATCACAGAAAATTTGAAATTTACTGTACTTTTTTCATTATATAATAAAAAAAATTAACCCCCCCCCCCCAGTGGTGACTATATACCACCAAAAGAATGTGTCCCTAAAAAATATTAAGAAATTGCAAGGCTATAGTCCGGTCATGCTGACTGGTGAGACACCCTCAAATATTTCAAGCCCTGATTATGAAACTATAAGTCAAGCCAGAAGAGGAACCTAATTTAGTGTCAGAAAGAACTGTACACAGGAGAGAGGTTTGGAGGACTGGAAATATTATGGCTTCCCCCCAATAATTTTTTTTGCTTTACAGCCGTCAATATCACATTTACACATTTTCAGCCCTTTTCACAGACAGATCCTGTACAATCAAGGAGGTATGTTGGCATTCGAATAGTAAATTGAAAGACACGCTGGCTGATTTACTAAAAGAATTAAGAATCTTCCCTCAAAACATTTCAGTTATTCAATCATGTGAAAATTCCTCTTTCATCTGCATTCAGAGGAAACCAGTCAATTAGGATTGATTAGAGGAGTTAAGATAAATGACTTATTCTATCCTTTTTTTTTGCAGTAGATTGTTGATGGGGCAAGCAACATAAAAACCATTTTACAAAAGAGATTAGTAACATTCACATTTACTGGTGAAAATGTTAGAGGGTTCTATTACACAGTAACCTAGCTGGTCTAACTGAGCCCCAACAGGCTCTTGCTTTTTAGATGACACATAATGTCATCTAAAAAGGTAGATGACATTATGGTTAACAAATGACTGATGAGTCTCCCGGATGACAAAAACATACATTTTTGTGAATCTGGAAGCCCTGGATATTGTATCACTGGGAGATGACTATAGATAGATCATTTACAATATCTCTGGACTCTGGGGTGTGCGGTGTCCTCTGAGTTGGGAAGTGTGCCTCCCTCTTCTTAGTTTGTGCCTAAGGGCCGGCTCACACTACAAAGTGCGTTCCAGAGCATTCGGCCTCTGGAACGCACCCCGGACGGCTCCCTGCGTTTAAGGGCAGGAGGGGGCGTGGCGGTGCAATGAAGTAAGCAGCCCTCAAAATGTATTGCAGCTATGTCAGCTATAATGGAAAAACAGACATCTGAAGTCATTGTGCACAACACATGGGTGCCATTGCTTATGTAATCCACTAAAAATCCCAGATGACCAGGCTGGGGATCAACTAAGACCTTAGTCATTGTATTGTGGGATGGGTAAGGAGTGCCTAATCTCCACTACCAATTTATGCCTTTGCCAGACCACCACTATTTCAGTTACTGGAACAAAATAATCTCGATTCCAACGAACCCCAATCGTTAAATATGCAATTTACTTTGCATGAAAGTTACACAAACACAGTGACCGTTTTTATGGCAGCATGGAGTTCCTCTTTCAGCGACACAAAATTACCAATTGTCTTTGCTAGCCAAGAACTCTTTCTAGTGAACCTTTTCACTGGCTACTTCAATATTGGATTATACAAATGAAGAGAAATTCTGGCATAGGACACATTCTAGAATTAGAATGTAGCAGACATATGGCGTACCCCCAGACTAAATGAGGTCAGCAAAGACTGCAGGTCATTTGGCATGAAGTCCTCTATAAACAGATAGTTATATTGTTGCAACCCTTTTTTACCCGCAGCAATCCTATTTTTTCACTGCAGTATGGGGGGACATAGGAAGAACCTGCTTGTCACTTTACCTGTTCAAAGTAAACTCACTCCACCCATTGACATTTACCAACCCTGCACTACTGTCACCGTTGGCCTGTTGGAGCGCAGAGTCAAATAGTTAAAACTCTACTTTTCTTTAAAAAAATAAAAAATAAAAATCTAAAAAAGTATCTAAAAATTGTTGTACAGGCCATTTTGTGATTTAACTATTTTAAAAAATGTTGCACTTTTAGCTTCTCTATTTTTTGTTTTCAAAAATATAAACGCAAAATGCCAACCTGGAAGAGGAGTTTTGTACACCACTTGTGTACAAAATGCCAAGAAATTTAATTTCCGGCTTTTTTGATTGGCTCAGCGATAATCTCAGAAGTCTGCACTAACATACACGTAACATTTTAGGCATCCCTGCTACAGGAATTTAATCTTAGGTTGGTCTACAAAAGGGATGCAGCTTTTCTCATTAGAACACTAAGATCTGCTCAGGTGATTATAATGAAGGCAGACCCTCCCATTCAAGAATCAGTCTGGAAAAGGACATTGTTAAAGATATTTCTTTAGAACAGAAGAAAAAAAAATAGCAATCCGAAACAAAGTTCTCGCAGCGTGCATAGATCACCCAGAAGCGATTGTACTTTTCCCCCCATTTAAAGTGAAGTTACACTTGAACAGAGTAGTGGCCTTTCCCACTCCCTTGTGAGACATTGTTCAGGCGCAATCACTGGATGTGAGGTTACCAGCAAAACATGGACTGTTGGTGGGGCCTAAAAAAAA